GCCTTGTGGACCTCTGGGGGCCCTGGATGTCCTGCTTCAGACAGCGCCAAATATCACCCATAGTGGAGCGACCATCCCAGGTTCTGGATTCAGGAGCCCTGCTCTTGACCAGGGCTGAGCAGTCTGCATGCGCTGCATCAAGTGGCATTCCTTCTGGGATCCTGCACGCGCAGCGCAAGGGGGCAGCGTGTTCACCGCGCGACGCGCTCCGAGGGCACGTTGCAGGGACGTGCCCGAAAACTCTTCTCAGTAGCTCCCCAGTGTCTGACGCTTCTGCTACCCCCCACCCGGCGAGCGCATGCACCGTCGAAGTAGGAGACAAACAAGATCCGCCCAGAAAGAGGGGCCTATTCCGATCGAGATTGAACGGCTGGATCAGCATATACAAGAACTGTCGACTCTTCAGCATCCATGGAAGACTCTACCTCAGGACGAGCGAGCCATAACTCGCTGAAGAGCGGAGATGAGGGACCTGCTGCAGGGGCCTTCTTCACAAACTAATTCCCCACCTCCTCGCTGCTCAGACGTGCGAAGAAACCGCCTTTTCCCTCGCGCCCCCAGCAGCGATGCCAAACAGGACCGCTCTTACCACAGTGCACGCACACGCAGCGCTGCTCAAAGCCCCAGTCGTGCAACTTGCTGGCTGTAGGATAGCTGTTGGTGGAACCGCGTCGAATGTTTTGTTTTGCAAAATGGCTGAACTTCTTGTTTCTGAACAAGTGTCTGACTGGCTCGCCTGGCAAGCCGCGACCCCGAGTTGCCTGGCCATCTGGTCCGGCGAAATCGCGAGAGAAGCGCTCGATGGCGCCAGACAGATATGCCCGTCGCAAGTCGTCGACGAAAAACCTGTCGACGAGCGCCGGCGCCAATGGCGCGAGCTCGACCGCGCCCCCATTGCAACGAAGACAGACGGCAGGACATCTGACAGTCCAGTTTGCTTCACGAGCCCAAATAAGGTCGCGAAGAGGCCCCGGAGAGCGACGTCCCAAAAACTTCCTTTCAGAGCCCAAGAGATCAGCGCACGCCGCGTGGAAGGCCTTGCCGAGGGTGCCAGGGTCGAGCTCATCGGGGGCCCTGAAATCGCCATCCGTCCAAAACCACCACTCGCGAGCTTGCCTAACCAGGGTGGCTAAGGCAAGCTTGAGGAGGCCCTTACTGGGCGCCAGAGACACGCGAACTCCAGGCTACAGCTGGGGGGCCATGAACCAAGATGCCGAGCCCCTTGGACGCGGAGCTGATGGATGCACGTAGGGGTGTTCCTAGAAATCTCCGAACCATCTGACGCATACGGTAAAATCCCACAGAAAAAGACGCTGCCCTTTTTGCCCGCGAGCGAGGCGCGGAGGCTGGAGATCTTGGGCAATCGCCTCGGCGCTGTCCTCCGGCGGGGGCGCCTAACCTCAACGGCCCCCTAGCCGCGCGAGGTCTACGTCCGACCAAGGAATCAACGCCAATATTGCGAGCGGAAAGGTCCGCATCGCCAGCGTACTTGCCAAGAACAGTCCTAGCGCGATCGAGCAGAGCGGACCGATTGGCCACCGTCGCGATATTGAGCATGGCAAACCTAAGCCCGAGACGATCGCGGAACAGAAGATGAGGCGTGGGGAGGCGATGGTGGGAAGGCGAGGCATCCATCCAACGCATCGCCAATGACTGTGAGGCAATCACCGTCAATGAATATCCCAAGATCCGAGTCAGGATGAGCGGGGGCACACTCACGAACGCCAGGGACCATTAAAGCCGTCGCTTCAAGTGTCGGTGTGCTGCTCCCAACCACCACCCCATTTGAGATGGATAAATGATTCGAGATGCTGCCCCTTCGATGGTGAGAAGTCTTCCCCGTACATACATGCCAATGGCAGCCCTGAAAACGAACGGAGGATAGTCGGCAAGCTCCGCTTCCCGCTCTGAAGCATCATAAGCGAAGTGCTCGTAGCACCGGCCCAGGTCGACTAGGACAGTGCTCGCACTTTTCTATCCTGGGAATATGCCCAACATGTTTTAACAGAGACCCTCCAAACGCCGTCGGTGGTGTGCCTGAAAGGGACCATGTGCAACTCCTTGGCATCCAGACGGTTTGTTTCCCACGCGCGACTATGTAGAGCTAGCGTCGCATAATAAAGCTTGACCATTGTTTACAAGAGAAAAACATAAGCCTGAGATCCACGGTGGACCTGGGAAACATTTGAACACGTAATAGCTGGACATCCGAAGGCTGGGTCCCCAAGATACTCATAAGAACGAAGAGATAATTCAACGCGCCCAGGCCCTCGGAACACACAAAAAATTAGCGCCTAGGATGAACACCTTCCGTGGCAATCGTAGCACGTGGGAAGGCTTGGGAGAGCTCGCGGAGCCGATCAGCGCCAGGAGCACCCGGCACTGGTAGGCCTCGAAAAATCACGGAAGCGCCGAACCTGGTGCTGAACTTCACCCCGTGCTTGGCCCCACTCTCGAGCATGATGGGCCAGACTCGCATCGATGCTGGTTGTGGGGCGTTCAGGTGATGAAACATGTTTGAAACAATGATATGCAACACGATGAGTGTACGCGTGCCCCCACTTGGCGCCACCTGCGAGCGCGGTCTCGCACCACTCATTCCAAGCAGCACGCTGGTCAACACGATCTTTGGACAGCATCTGTCGCGCACATAACCTAGCATGCTCCTCCGAGAAGAAGCTGGGATCAGCTACAGAACCATACTAAGAGTCCAAAGAAAGTCTGAAGACCCTCCAAGCAATGTCCGCGAAATGCCGATGCCAAACAACTCCCGTAACCTTCCGAACGTGCAAACGGGCCCCCTGTCCTGATGAGCTGGGTGTTGTGCTGGAGGAATTTGACAAAGTACGAAGATCCCCAAGCATTCGGATATTTCACGTGTAAGCTCAGAAGCTCCCGAATACGGCTGGCCGCCCACAAAAAAAAACCTGGAAGCCAAAAGCTTAAAATTTACCTTAATCGGGAAAAGAGACGCCACAGGAACCGTTTCAAAAACATATGTGCGACCATCCCTAACAAACCCTGGTTTTTCGTCGGTCTGAAATATACCTAGGAGCTCGCCCCAAGCAGTGGATGCCCTGTTACGGTAAGACTCATCCAGCACATCCTGCAGGACCTGGTGGCTGGACTCAGAACCTGGAGCGGAAAAATTGGTACCATGCTCGTGGCGACAGGAATTCACAACCTCCTCCAACCTCCGAGCCACATGGGCGTAGGAGGGAGGGGGAGGAAGGGGGAGGGGGAGGGGGCAACATGGAGGGCAACAGGTAGGGAACGAGCTTTTGAACCATCCTGACCTCCGTTTAGATATCTACGCAGAGCTGGACAGGGCGATGCGGCGACAGAGCAGTATTTAGGTCCACAGAGACTCTCGGCGCGCAGTGCAAAACATTTTGGGCAGTGATGAAGTAGTCCAAAGTCGAGCTAACATCGCCAGACACATGTGTGGGCATACTCGGGGAATGCAACACTTCGCCGCCAAACCGCCCAGGAGGAAGACCAGTAGCAACTACAGACGGGTCCAGGTTGAAGTCGGCCAATCCCGTAATCCTCCTCCTCCTCCTCCTCCTCCTCCCCCTCCTCCTCCGCGTGGCTTCTCAAAAGCCCCTCTGGCCTTCCGAGGAACCCCCTGTGGCCTCGGAGAAGGTCCATATGAAACTCCTCGGAACGCCGGAGGCCCTCCGAGCTTTCTGAGAAGGCCCGCCCCCTCTGCCTTCCTGGGGGGGGGTCAAAACGGTACCGAGCTCCCTGGCCCTCTCCAGTTGAGCTTCCTGACTAGAATTTCCAAGCGAACCCAGCCGTGGCGAGGAGAGGAAAGTAGCGGTGTCGGTATATTTTCCTCTTCTGTCTTCCCCCCTCGGGCACGACGCCGGTATACAGAGGACAGATCATAAAGCACGAGCGCGCCATCGACCACCCGCTGCTAAGCGACGGACGGCGACGGGCAGACGGACAAAAGCTGCTCGGGCGTACGCAGACATGGATTATTACGGAACCGTGGATCTGGCGCGCGTGGGCGCTAGATCCACGGATCGCGAGCCCAGTGCCGCCTCGTTTTTTGGCGACGGAGCGCGTCGACTTCGTCTGGGAGGCGGGACCCGTCGCTCCGCTACATGGCGCGGGGGTCCCCAGCTTTTGGGCCATCCCTCGGGCCTCCAGCGGCCGTTCGGGACGATCCCAGCCACCCCTGGAACGCTGTGGAAGAGGCGCAGCTGATGGAACGCCAGCCCGGGCCTCGAAAAAAGTTAGAAAGCTTACTTACGAAGACTGCAGGAAATCGGACAACGTCAGGAAGCCACATGGCGCGCCATATCCCATATCTGCGTCTCCTCGAGAGCTGGGGGGCATGGCGGGCAGGAAAGGCAGGCGTGAGTCCGCCGGGTCCCCGCCGGCCGAGGTGGGAAGGCGTGCGAGATGCTTGGCCGTGCCCCTGCCCCCGTCCCCCTCCCCGGGGCCACCATCTTCCGACAGGGCAACCTGAGCCATCATCTCGAGTCCCATGTCCCAGGGATCGGCGGAATGAGGTAAGCCCTCCAAAAGTGATAGCCACCTGCTGCAAAAGGCCTGCGAGCACGTGGGAGAGAGTCCGCTGGGGCGGATAGGAAAGAGACAAAGAGAGAAAGAGAAATAGAAAGAGAGAAACAAAAAACACTGAGGGGGAACGTGAGGGGGAGGCGGCTGACCCAGGAGGGAAAAACGTCGAGCTTGACTCGGCGATGCATCGCTGATAGATCGGCGCTGGGCCCCCGATAGCGAAACCGCACGTTTCTGAACGTAGTCTATGGGCTATCTCTGAGGCCCCTATCGGTGATGAATGGGCGACTTGGCGTCGATGCATCCCCCCCCCTGAGCCAGCCCCCTCCTGACGTTGCCCCCGACACCCTGACACACACGCTCGCCCTCGGCCGCTGCACCGGCGCTGGGCGGTAGCCTCGCTGCTCGGTGTGCGGCACGCGCGTACTGCGCGTGCGGACCGCCCTCAGAGCTTCTGCCGGACCATCTCACGGGCCGCGCGCGTCGATGCGAAGCCCCGCGGCTCTGCCTTCCAGCACGAAGGGCCTGAAGGTCGAGTTGCGCACGCGCCTCATGCGCGGGCTGGACATGTTTGCGGCGAGGCCCTGGACTCTGGCCGTGGAGATGTTGATGGGCGACTGGAGGCGCCACGCCGAGGAGAAGTGCCGCTTCTGCTGCCACTCTCGCAGGAACTCCGCTGCCGCCTCTGGCGACGTGAGGTTGACAAAGGCGTGCCCGTGGTTCACCTTCGATTGGAAGTCCTGCGGCACGTAGCAGAAGTCGCAACGGCCCTCGAAGCCGCTGGCGTGGATCTCGTCCACGAGGCCTTTCTGCGTCAGCCAGCGGGGCAGGTTGCGCAGCATCAGTGTCGTCACCTCGGGGGACCTGCCACGTTCAAGCAAGCTGCTCTTGCTTCGACCCTCACTCGGGACCTCACTCGGAAGCGCCACTGTTGCCACCGCAACCTCTTCATGTTCCGAAGTTCCCTTCGCTGCAGGGGAAGTTTTTGCATGGTGCTCCGCCGGCGGCGACGACCTTGCCTCGCTCAGGCGAGCTCTGTCCGACACTGAATCTTCCAACGCGAGCTCTGGGGGTGTTGCCACGTGCTGCTCGGCCAACGTCGCTGGTGAATGAGAGCACACGTGAGCGCAGTGCTCCGCTGGCGTTGCCGCTCCGCCCTGGGAGGCGTGGTATCCGCCGACCCCCGCCTGCTAGGGGTGAGTCGAGCGCCAGGAAAATACCCCTCGACTTCCTTCCTGATTATAATATGTATTCCTTGGCTTCCTGCTCTTGCCCCCCTTCTTCCCCCTCCCCCTCCTCGTGATATTATGTTCATGGTTATTCATAATACTAGTGCCATCAACCGTAGTAGTATTATTAGTAGTGGTACTAGGACTATATGAATACGACTCG